GGTTCTCAAGAGGGAGTCAGCTCCTGCAGTTGGTTAAAAGGCTCAGGCACACAGAGTTCAGGGATCATTTATGTGCACTGAGCTAGAAGACCTTGGTGGGCTTGGGTGGTTCCAGGTGATCTTTGAGTTGCTGATTTGGGGTGTCTGTTCCAGGATGGGGAAAGGCAGTGAGATTTTTGAGGCAGGAGAAAGTAACTCATGATAGGCTTGGGACCATGGGATGGAGGAGACCGTTGGGCCCCGCGGTGTGGGTTCCTCACAGTAATAAAAGGCCAGTATCTGAAGTGGAAATGGAAGAGCTCCAAGATAATAGCAAGATGTGGAAGATAAGTCTTCCAATGGCAGCAGATTTTGGAGCAGATGGAAATTCATGTGCTTCCACTGTCATTGCCGGTAGCTCCATGTCCCCAGTAACTCCTAAGTCACCTCTCCGCTGTGACCCCCACACCCTCAACCTGTGAACTTGCCTCAACCTGTGAACTTGCCTCACAGGAAGAAGGGAGGGGTCCCATTCAAAGAGATAACGCTCACAGCTAGGAAATGGCAGAGCCGGGATTCGAACCTAAAGCTGAGGCCCTAGAGTTGAAAGGAACAGCTGAGGGGAGCAATTCACCAAAGCACTGCACCCTTCAGGACTGAGCAGAAAAGGAGAAGCGAGTGTCTCGGCTGCAGAACCCCCAGAATGGCAACCGGAAGTGAGCAAGTGCCTGCTTTTGGGGGTGCGGACTGGTGTCTCTGGAGCAGGAAGGCGCTGCCCAAGCCCTCGGGGTGGGTGCAGGGGTCGGGCAGTGCAGGGAGGGACAGGACGCAGCCTGGGAGGGGTCAGCTGTACCGCCAGGAAGAGCCCGCGGGCCAGCTGAGTCCTGTGCTGGCTGCGGCCCTCTCCCTCTCCCTCCCCGCCCCTCCGATGCCCCTCCCCATCCTCCCTCCCCTCTGTCTCTTTGTCTCTCTCTTTCTCCTTCTCGCTCTCTCTCTCTCACACAGTTGCTTCCTATATCTCTGCATCTCTCTGTCTGTAGACCTGTGGCTCTCTGTCCGCTTTCCCTGTCTCACTGTCCCAGGCTGCTTGCCTCTTTTGACTCTCACTCTATTTCTGGGCCTGTCTGTCCACCTCTGTCTCTCTCAATCCTCTCTCTCCCCCTCTCGTTCTGTCTCCCCCTCCCCTTCCCCTTCCTCTCTCTCTTTCCCTCTCTCCCTCTTTCCATCTGTCTCTCTGTCCCTCTCTCTCCCTCCCTCTTTCCCGTCCCATTTTTCCTCATCTGTATTTCTCTGTGTGGCTCTGTTGGCCTCCTCTCCCCTCCCCCTCCCTCCCCCTCCTGTCACCCTTCTCCCTCCCCCTCCCTCCCCCGCCCTCTCTCTCCCTCTCTTTCCTTCTCTCCCTCTCCCGGGCTCTCTGTCTTTCCCTCCCTCCCTCTCTCTCCTTCTCTCTCCCTCTCCACCCTTTTCTCTCCCTCCCCTCCTCTTGTTTCCATCTGGCAGGCAGATGTGTCTGTGTAATGATCCTCCCACCCTTCCTGTGTCCCCTGGGGAGGGGACCTGCTGGCTGTCCACCAGCTTTAACACCATGTCCTCTGGGTGCTCACGTTGGAGCGGGCTTGCCCAGAGCCTGCCATCTCTGGGTCCCGTGCACCACCCTGGAGAGCAAGTGCGAACTGCGGGCTGTCGCACTGAGCCTGTCCCTGCAGCCTGAGCTCTCTGGGGGCTTGCAGCAAGCTCAGGCTTGACTTGAATGTCAAGTTCAAGCCGCGTTCCGGATTCGCAGCTTTCAGAGCTGGAAGGAGAGGGCCTTTCTGTGTGTCTCTGACTGCAAGGACAGTTTCTCAATGGTTGCAAACAGCAGGCTGGGTCAGCCAGACACTAAGTGGCGTCTGAAGGAGCTCTCTTGTCCCCAGAAAGCAAGCAGGATGACACACACTGCTGTCATTGACAGGAAGACCCTGAAGGTTACTGACTGCTGTTTTCAGGACTGCTGGAGGTAGCAACAGCGTCTTCTTGCTGCAGCCGTATGCCTGGTGTCACCCCGACCTTCTCTGGGAGTGACAGATGCCCTGAGCACGTCTGAGTGACCTGGACGCCCTGTCCATCTCTGCCCCAGATTGCCAGCCTCTCCTCAGGAACATCCTCTGATATAGTCACCCATGACAGACCACACGCAACTCGCTCACCCTTTTTCCCAGCCTCTTCCAAACAATAAATTAAACCCCACACAGGGAAGGAGTACTCCCTGTGATAAGGCAGAGGGATCGGGACTGCAGGAGCTCCAAGCACACACCAGCGACTTGCTTTCAGTGGATCCCAGGCTATCCTGTTGTGTCTGCAACCAATCATGACGAAATAGCTGCAGAGCCCTCCCTGTTGTTTCGTGGCATAAGTGTCAGAGTGCCTTACAAGGGTGTGGGTTGCTTCTCCTTGGGAGGTAGCTTGGGTTTCAGGTAAAAATCCATGAGTCATGGGAAGGTTGCTCATGTTTTGTACCTCTTTCTGCTAGTGGTGTGCGTTTCAATTCTATTTTCATTAGTCATCTCTCCTGTCTCTATCTCTGTCTCTCCTATCTGTCTCTCTGTCTCTTTCTCTCTCTGTCTCTCTCTTTCCCTCTTCTGTCTCTCTGTGTCTCTGTCTCTGACTCTCTCTGTATTAGGAACTGAAGCCAGGGCTTTTTCCGGAGCTACAACCCAACCCTTCTTTCATAATTATTTTGAGATAGGGTCTCTAAGTCCTCAAGTTGCCCAGGCTGGGCTAGAACTTGTGATCCTTCTGCCTCAGCCTCCCAGCGTGCTGGGATAATAGGCATGTGCCACCACAATGAATATAATGCTCTTTCAGAAAGTCACACTTTTGTCCAGCCAACAGGAAATGCACCCATTATTTCAGACTGATTGTTTGTATATGTGTTACTTTTCCTAAGAAATGTCAGTATTGTAGGGGGGTTGTGGAAGACGGAACTTAATTTTACAAACTAAGCGTGCTGCTCAGGTGTTGATGAATTCACCTAATTTGGAGCTTCTGACAGCTTTATGAAGGTTTAATTTGCATGCTGTAAAACTCCAATCCCAAGACTTTTAATATGTTTGTCGAGTTGTACAGCCCTAGCGACAATCTAATTTTAGAACATTTTCTCCACCCTAGAAAGATCCTTCCTGTTACCCATTTGCAGTCCTCCATCCCCCACCTCTAGCCTCATTTAATTCTGGACTCACCATTTTTGGATTTTTTTCCCCTAAAATGTTTAAAGTACAGTATCAGTTGAGGTCCTAGCATGTGTCAGATGGCCCATGATGTCGTGTTAGTGTGTGTGCCTCTGTGCGTGGCTTTATCCTGCTTTGGTTACATGTGAGCTTTGTGCCTGCCTCTTGCTCACCTTTGGTTTTGAATAGAAATATGGGTGGCCAGCTCAAAGGGAGACTGGCTAGCCAGCGGTAGCAGAGCCAGGTGCTCATAGTATGGCTGTCAGTTGGGACTCGTGAAGCACGTACTTCCTAAAGTCAAGCCCCAAAGTTTATGCTAGGAAGAAGGACAGCCAGGTGTGAGAGCTCTCCTGAGAGAATTTGTTTCTCCATTTGCTAGGTTTCCAGCACCTGATCCTTGGGGGTTGGGAAAAAAGTGAAGGAACCAGAGCAGAGAGAGACTAGGGGGCAGTGGATGAAGGGAGAGAGACAGAGACAGAGAGAGAGGAGAGAGACAGAGAAGAGAGACAGGGACAGGGACAGAGACAGACACAGAGAGAGATGAGAGAGAGAGAGAGAGAGAGAGAGAGAGGAGAGAGACAGAGAAGAGAGACAGGGACAGAAACACAGACACAGAGACAAAGACAGACAGAGAGAGGAGAGAAAGAAAGTCTTTGAATGAAAAGAAAACACTGTGTTTTGTGTGCTCAGTTTGGCTCACACCAACTGCTTCATTTGTTTCATCTCATCCATTTGGTGCTGCTGGTGATTAGACAGCTACAGACCGTGTGTCCCACCTCTGGAAGGCTGGGGCACAGAAGTGCTATGTTTTCATATTGTTTGGGATCTGGGGATACTGTGTTTGCTCACACATCATGAGATATCTTGGGCAAGGGACCTGAGGGTGAACCAGGGAGTCACTTGGTTCCTGTAAAACTTATGCACCCAACCTGCAGGTCAGTTTACAGCATGTGTTTATCACATCTGAGTTTTGATTGCTAGGGGAATTATGTATGTCAACAATGGAATGTTTTGGGGTTAGAGCATCTTTGATTTGGGATTTGCAGATGAGGGACGTTTGACCTACAATGCATTATTTTTACATTGTCCCATTCACCCTGTTGAGACTTAAGGATGGCTGGAAAGAATGTAATTCCATCCATAGTTGGACAATAAGTGTTCCCTTTCTTAAAGCACTGTATTGACATGCTTTTTGCTTGTAGCTGTTGGTTGATTGTGATGAAAATTTAGGGTGAATGTCTAAATTTACAGCATGTATCATAGTAAAAAATAGTTGTCATTAATTCCCCTCACAACCCTCCTCCTCACTTTTAACACATATATCTCATCATCCTGGCCACTTTCTGAAGCAGGTCTGGAAGTTGACCTTCCTGACAGTCTTTAGTTGAACAGTTGTAGCTGACTTGATGTCCTGAATTGATCCAAGACATTGACAATTTGTGGTCTTTCTGACTTTGGGGAAGACCCAAAAGTGGCTCCATGCCAGATCTGGTGAATAAGGTGGATAAAGACACAGCATCCTGTTTTTAGAAGCCTGCTTTTCCTTGGGTGGCACTCGGCAGGACCATTCGTTGTATTTCTGATCATAGTTTGTAAAGACACTCATGAAAGAGGACTTCCAGACCTGCGGCAGGAATTAGCAAGAATGATGGGATCAGTGTGTTTGAATAAAGGGAGAAGATTTCATAGGAGGTTCGTGGCAATGCGTCTTGTACTGGAATAAGTTGTTTTTAAATTTAAACATTCAGTGTACATTTTCAACACGTCACCTAAGGATGGTTTTTAGTGATATTCTTTCTATATTTTGAATCACAGGCAAATCCATCTGGAAAATGCTGTACTTCACACCCAAGTTCAACCCTGAAGGTGCCAATGGATGCTTTTCCACACACGTGTGTTTCTGTTTTGGGAACTACATCACCCACCACGACCCACCTTTGCTGTTCGACCTTTCCAGAGATCCACGGGAGAGAAGCCCTTTGACTCCAGCAACGGAGCCACGTTTCCATGAGATCCTCAGAACCATGCAGGAAGTGGCAGACAACCACACCAGGAGCCTTCGGGAGGTCCCCAACCAGCTGTCTGCGTGGAATGTGCTTTGGAAACCGTGGCTCCAGCTCTGCTGTCCGTCACCTTCCTCTTCCCTGTCTTGTCAGTGCGACCGAGAAAAACAGGGTCAAAGAATGAGCAATTAGCCGTGAGCTGCTGTGGGTCTGGAGACCAGAAAGATGCATGTGGCTGAGTCCGCTATCTTCATCGCAATGCCCTGCCTTGTCTTGCTGCCTCAGATGTGTTCTGATTCTCTGTCCTATCACTGCAGTCCTGAGCAAGACATCAGTGGTTACCCAGCCAGTAGGGGTTAGGTCCTGCTTGCGGCATCTGTAGTAGAACATGATAAACTGATGTCTTCCATGGCCAGGGTCTTTGGACTTGGTGTCAGTAGGGTGAACGGGACACTCACCTCTTACACCACTGCAGCAAGGTGGAGCAAGTTCAAGAGTGAATGCGCCCATCTCCCCGACTAACGGGATAAGGTGTCATTTACATGATCTCCTCAAGTTATCATGTAACCTCCAAGGCTAACAAGCACAGCAGCCAAAAGACAAGCACACTTCAAAGACTTTAGTAGATAGTAGCATATTCAGCTTTATAACAAATGAAGGCCCATCTTCTTTCCTATGCAAAGAGGATCGTACATTCCTATTTGATTATAGGAAGACAACTCAGTATTACTGTTATGGCAGCACATATTAAATGCTTTTAGCCATATAGATAGATAAACAGATACATGGATACATAGATGTACAAAGTTTCTTTGCTTAAGAAGATTAAGATGTTTAGGGAATCGAGGTGTTTATAGTTATTTAAGTAAATGCAACAGAAGCTCCCAGGTAGATTTGGGCAATGAATCTACTGTAAAATCTTTCAACAAAAATACACAGAGCTCTCCTGAACTGATTTGTAGTCCATTGTCAGTAGTATATTCCAGTCTTTGTCTTGCCTTTTGGTGGGTGGAGCTGGGAATTACAAGGGAATTTGGGGCTTCTACTTTCCCAGGAATGTCTTGGAATATAATTCAGAATGGCTCACATGGAAAGTATGTTATCTGGGGTCCAAAAGAGGTGGGGCACATGTAACCCATGATTTATACACATATAGGAGTTGCTCCTGATTCCTAGCCATGAACTAGAGAGGAGAAATCAGTAGGTAGTGTTGCTACTTTCCTGTGATTATGTTTTAATCTGACTTCCCCCAAACCTCAGTACTTCTGGGAAAATCATAATCAGGTCACGTAGGATGTGGCTTAGGTGAGAAATTCCAAGTCTGTCTGGGGAACGATTTCTCCACCCTTCGAATTCAAGAAGTGGTCCAGGTGGCACATCCTCTCAGAAAATGATTAGATGACTTTATAGGTAAATGGAGACAAGCTGAAGTGAACTAGCTTACCAGTCCTCTATAAATTTGGGGGATGTGTGTAGGCATTCTTTGTTTGCTCAGCACAGGTCACTCTAAGTCCATGTAGGGGAATGGGATACTGAGCACTCTCGTGGCTGTTGGGAGAGATATGGGAGCCTATCTTGGGCTTTCTGAAACCTGATCCAAATATCCTGAGTTCCTCCACAAAGGAACCCCCAGGATTCCACAGCATTTCCCCAAGGCCCCTTATAGCTCTTCTATTTAATTTTTGCTTTCCTTTTCTGGAGGGAAGAAAAAAAGAAGTGATGCCCACACCATCCTGCCCCTGGAATTTTTAAAGCCAGAAAGCAGATAGGATTCTTCCTGTTAACATGAATTCCTTCCTCTGGAAATTGTGCAAAATCTGTCATTTTGTTTCAGGAAGCGCTCATACAGAAGAGTGGACAGGGATGTTGGTGATGCATGGAGATTATTCCTGCAGGCATCCAGGAAATCCATGACTTCTGTAATCTGGCTTTAGGGTGACATTATTTACTGAAGAAATCAATGCAAGTGGACTTTTAGAAGATGCCAAAGGGTGCAGGGAATATCTGTGAGAGGATTCTGTAACTAGAAGCACGTTTATAGATGATACTGTATGCCCGTTTGGGTGTAGAGTTATTTAATGTGTGAAGTGTCAACAGGACTTGAAACACAAAATATACCTCTGTCTGAATTGGAACTGAGCTTAAAAGTGCCTCAAATACCTGATATCACTATTAAAATTCAGGACATTTCAAAGTCATGCTTATTTGTAATAACCATAACGATCATAGATTTCAAACTGTTTACCACCTGAAGGTTTTGCTTTTATTGTATAACAAATTTGATTTTTTTATTGGGTGGGGTGTTGTCCAGGAGAGATTTAAGAAAGCTGGAAGGTACAGGTGTTGTTTGTTTTTGTAATTTTACAGAGCTGTAAGGCATGGCTACATATTTTCAAAGCATTCTATTGATATTATTTCTTCAATTCTATATTCAAACCTTCCTGCATTTTGAAGCTTCCAGAAAGCTCTTCAAAAAGAAGTTCATATTCCTCGCATTACATCAATGCCAAAAGTTAAGCAAACAGCTCAGTAATGTATGGGTCATTTGCACTGCACGGAAAACAGAATAAGTGACATATCCCTGTAAGAGAGAACTTAAAAGAGGTGGCTGACATTTCAAACTTCCCTGAAGAACATGCAATATAGACCAAGCAAAAAACAAAAAATAAATTAAACACATACACACACACACACACACACACACACACACATAGGGATAGTATTTGAAGCATATCCCAAAAATGCTTCTTTTAAAATGATTGCATCAGATAAAAAGAATTCCTTGTCACATGTTAATGCAAAGCTAAATAAAATACTCCTTGGCAATTAAAAATGTTGCATCCAAATTCTCTCCTTTCCTATGTGGCTGGGTTCCCTAATACACAGCATGTTTACACTGTTTCCGGCAGGATGTTAAGCAGTGTGTAGCAGCAAACTATCAAGACCCTTCTTAGCTCAGAGAAGAGGCTGAGGTATGCAAAAGAAAGTAAGAAATGCTATGGAAATCACTGTGGAGATTCCTTAAAAACCTAAAGCTAAACATTTCATTTGACTGGGCTATTCCAATCCTAGGTATCTTCCTAAAAGAGTTCAAAACTTCCTATTACAGGGATCCATGCACACCCTTGCTTATGGCACAACTCAAACTAACTAAACCTTGGAAGCAGCCTATAAGTTCACCAGCAGAGGAATGGATAACGAAAATGTGGTATTCACACATAATGGAGTACTATTCTGCCATAGAGAAGGATGAACTTGAGTAGTTTGTAGGAAAATAGGTGCACCTGGAGACCAAAATGTAAAGTACCTCAGACACACGAGCTTAAACTCAAAGTATAAAAGATTAAAAAGTAAAATAAATGATAGGTACTAGGAAACAGGAAGATAGGTCTTTCTCAAATGGGACAGGGGTCCCAGAAATGGACGGAGGAAAGGGGGAGGGGAGTAAAATGAATTAAGATGTGCTACATTCACATACCAATGCCCCCATGATGCATGCAATCATTGTATGCTTTATGCATGTAGTAATAAAAGTAAAAATTTTTTAAAAGAAAATAAGCCCTGACCTCAATTAATTAGAGGACAGAACAAAGCCAAATGATTAACATTTATGGATGCCCAATAATATTTTAATTTGTTTTAAAATAAGAGGGCTGGGGGTTTAGCTCAGAGGCACAGCACCTACCTGGCATGCACAAGGTTGTGAGTTCGATTCCAAGTACCAGAAAACAAAACAAAACAACAAACAAGCAAACAAATAAAATAAGAAGGGCTGGGAGCATAACTCAGTGGCAGAAGACTTGCTTACCATGTGGAAAATGCACCCAGTTTCATCCCCAGCACTACAAAAATAAATCAACAAAAACAAAATAGAAGTAACAAAACACAAACTTGAAGATCGTATCAGCATTTGTGCCAACATGATCCTATCATAAAGTGTACTTTTGGTGTGCACTGTTGTGTTTCACATTTTTGTGTAGTATGTTTAATAGTAAAACCTACTGTATTTCAGCTCCATGATTCATTAAAGTCTTAATGGGCCCAGGACAGATACCTTACCCTGGTGAAAGATTGCTTTGCTCTAACATTCAGGACAGAATTTTAATGCAGAGAACCCTTTTCTCTTTTTTTCTCTCTTTTTAAATGGATTCAATAAGAAAACCACACCAGAGTCAGAGCAAATCCCCCAAACAGAGAGAAGTAGGTGTTGTCCATTCACCCCAACACCAGATGACATTCTTCGCCCTCCACCCTGTCTGGGCGGCATTATGTCACCCTACCTTGTCTTTAGCAAGAATCCCTTTTGGTTGGTTTAGCTGGACTCCCTCTCATCCCAGAGGTCTCTTCTCAAGAACTTTCCACCCCTTGACTCCTACCTGCCCCTTGACTATCAATCCCCATCTGCTCATTCTCTGTTTACAATTAAACCCATGTCTCTCCCCTACTACAAGTCCCCATTGGCCATGGTCTTGGACAAAGTCTTCCCTAGCAATGGCAGCAAGTCTCACTGGAGAATGTGCTCATCACTGTCATCCATGCCAATAGCATGGGGCTTCTATACTGAGCTTCCAAAGACCCTCACTGTTCCATTTCTTTCACCATCGATACCTTCTGTGTCATGAGCCCTTCCTGCAGCAAATATTACCCACTGCATCTCTCTGTCAAACAGCTTGTGCCTAAGGACTGGTGGCTTACCAGTGTTTAATGACGTCAAGTCCTATATTAAGCAGAACTTTTTCAGTTGGCAAATGCAAGCTTCTCTAATTAGAATACTATGAACTTAAAATATACTGAGGTGTTCATAAAGTCAGCATGGTCATGTAGCAATTTATTCATTTTTCTAAGGAAAACTGTAATGAGCCTTCCATATAGTTAACCCTCAGAATTAGCAGCTAAAGATAGTGCTACTCGTTCAGTTTAAATGCCTTGGATGAGTTTTTTCCATAATGCTAGGCATGTCTTAGTACAGCAAATAATATTACATCTTCAGAAAAGATAATTGTACAGTCCCTAAGTACACCTGACGTGAGAAAATGTCAGCACTTTTTTTTTTTTTTAACACTTAGGATTAACTGTAGGAACTTCGTACTGAACTACATCCCCAGCACCCTCCCACCACACTCATGTTCTTTTTATTTTGAGACAGCCTCTTGCTAAGTTGCTAAGTTGCCCAGGATGGGCTCAAACTTGCAAGCCTCCTATCTCAGCCTTCCAGAGTGATGGGATTACAGTCGTGCACCACCATGCCCAGCTGAGCACTTTCATATTGAGGTCTGTTATCTTGTTGTTTTTTTTTTCTCTGTAAAATAAAAAAAAAAGAAAATCAGATTCCCTGATTACAGGGAAATCTAAAGTTTCACATTTTAATATGTACTTGGGATGTTAGTGTTTTTCTAAAGACAGACTTTCCAATGAAAACATGTTAAGTAAGTACTTTGAATTGCTCGTCAGAACTTATACCATTGGAATCTAATAGGCATGCAATGTCATATTCTGTATTTCCACACAGAGCTCATATTCTTTAGTGGACAGAAAACAGTTGTGACTACATTGGAAACAGACACTGTCCCCTGGCTCACAGGAGAGTTTTATCTCAGTGGGGCCCAGGCACGAAGGTGTTTCTTACTCTGTTTACAGTTAGGTGCCATTGTATGGAACATGACACACTGCTATGTGTCTGCTTGCATACCTCTCTCTAAGGCTCTTTGCTTCTTGCTGCTGATTTCAGAATACGTGGAACTCCAGTGAGACCACAAGATAGCCTGCATCCTTGAGTCACTGACCAGGACACCTGCAGAGGGATCTAGATCTGATTGATAAATGGGTGATGGCCACCTAGACAAGAATTCAATGCTGTGTTTTCCAAACCATTGACATTGGAAGGCTGTTAATATTGCAGCACTTGGAGTGCATTACCTACAGAGCACAAAAGCTCAGCCACATGACCTACCGCTAACATTTTAGGACAGTTCATTGGATTTCAAAAAAGAAAAAGGGCCTTCAATTTAGTGGTGTTAATTTAAATGAAAGCCCCATCTATGTGCATGTCTCAGTCAGATAAATTTGGATAGAAATATAGTGTATTTTGGTTTCAGAAATGGTAGCCAAAGTCTCTTGAATGCTTAGTCCACAATGCACTACAAAGGTGGATCATAAAGGGCGTAATTTAATCCGTGAATTAAGTGTTTGATGAGATCAGGAGGTGATAGACACTTAGGAGGAGGAGCCTAGTGAAAGGGAGTTGGTCATGTCTTTTGAGACAACATCTTAGCACTCTCTCTCACTCGCTCTCCTTCTCCCTCCCTGGATTCCATGAATTAAGCAGCTGTCCTCTACCTGTTCCTACCACCATGGTATTTTGTTCCGACACAAGCCTGAAATCCGGAAAGCCATGGACTGAAACCTCTAAAACCATCAGCCTTTCCCTGTTGGTGAGAATGGAAACTAACACAACTGCTGTGTAAATCATTATAAAGATTCCTCAAAAACCTGAAAATGAAAATTCAGTTGCCCCCAGCTACACTGCTCCTGGGTATTTTTCCCCAAAGTTAAAGACATTGTAGTGTATTTATGCTGGCATACCCATGTGTACAGCAGCACAAGTCACAAGTGGAAGCAAACTCCATGCTCAAAAACAGGCACATGAGTAAAGAAAATGTGGTATGTTTACACAAGGGGGTATTGCTGAGTCTCAAAGAAGGATAAATTTGAGGCATTTGTGGGAAAATGTATGGAATTTGAGACCAGAATCTTAAGTGAAGTAACTCAGATGGTTTTATTATCACATGGTTTCTCTTGTATGAGAAACTCAAAATATAAATAAAGAATTTTAAAAAGGGGAGATGGTGTAAAATTGGGAGATAGATTTACTGAATATAGGGAAGGGGAACTTGGAAAGAAGAGAGAGTGCTGGAGTGGGGGAGAAAATGGTATCGAAAATAGTCAAAATATGTATATGAACCGGTTTCTCAGAAGGAATGCCATGATTATGTATTGTAGTGTTATTCACTTTCTGTTCACTGAAACACAATAGCCAACAGCCACAATTTAAAGGGGGAGAGGTTCGTTTCGGCTCATGGTTTTAGTGGTTTAGGCCATGGTTGGCTGGCTCCAAGGCAGAAATAGGATGACCGAAGGGTGTGGGGGAGGAAGTGTGCTCACCCCATAGCAGCCAGGATATGGAGAGAGAGGAAGAAGGAACGGGACAAGGATACATCCTTCCAGGTCATAGCTACAGTAACTCACTGCTAACCAGGCCCTCACTGCCTAACAGCTCATTTACATATCAATCTGTGGGTGGATTAATCCATGGATGAGTATAGAGCTCTTATGATCCTATCACCCTCCAAAAGCTTCACCTTTGGGGGAGACATTTTAGATCTAAACCATAATACTCACAAGCACTTACTGATTAAATAATAAATAAACTTTTCCTGGTTAAAAATGCCCCCACCAGCCAGTATACTGCAGTTTCTCACTTACCCAGGTAATAGTTCCGGTTTCACAGCTGGTGGCTCCTGTCACTTAGACACAGCTGGTGACTGTGATGCATAGCTGGTCGCTATGATGCATAGCGACCCCTCCCCATTTGACAAGCCATTCTGCTTCTGTACTTCCTGCTTGCTATCCCATATAAGCCCTAGACCACCAAAGATCAGGGTCTGATATTCTGGGAATGATCCTGATCACTGCCTGTTGATGCAAATAAATCTACTCCCAAATCCAAAATAAATAAATAAATAAATAATAAGGGGCTGGGGATTTAGCTCAGCGGCACAGCACCTGCCTGTCAAGCACAAGGTCATGAGTTCAATTCTTGGTACAGGGAAAAAA